ATATTAATTAAAACGCTAAGAAAAGGTAAGATATATATAATTAAGCCTATAATTATAGTCTTAACGCTTAATTAAGTATTTAAATAAGAAAAAGAGAGCTTATAATAGCCTTAATAATAGGCTTAATTAAAGGGTATATTAGAATAGGTTACTTATTATAGGTATAAATTACGTACGTATAATTAAATAAGAGTAAACCCTTAACTATAAGTAAATAACCCTAATAATAAGCGCACTTATAAAAAGAGCGCATATAATTCTCTCTTTTGTAGCTAGACATGGACTTGTATATATACATTATCGGTACAATTAGTGCCCTCTAAAGTGTGACACCTTATTTCGGGCTTGGGTGGGGGCAGCCGACATCTCCTCATCATTCATGTCAATGTTTTCGTCAAGCAAACAGCTCAGTTTGTAGACGGGCGAAAGTGAACACCTTTCTGGTACAATACACTGCGAAATACGTTGTGTAATGGACGAAGAAAAACACAACTCCATCATTTATTGTTCGCTATTCCTGTCGTGTCGGTACGTCTGGGTGAGTTGTTAAACGACCACAACTACCGACGTCTAATTTTCTAATTCACCCGTCCCAAGCTTTAAACTTCCAAAAACGGGGTCCATAGAGTGCCCGGCAGTCGTGTTAGTACTAGTACTAGTACTACGTTACCCGCGGCATTATTCAGTGTCCAGAGCGACTACGATGTGGGGGGTCAAGCTTGAGACCCTCTCTAACGATATAGTCATGACGGTGCCAGGCGCACCGGCGTGCGCTACTCTATCCTTCTTTGTTCGCAATGTCATTAAGGGCTCTGCTGGCCTCTATTGAATAGATTCAAACTAGACACTCGGCCTACAGTCACGATGCTCAACACGGCGCTCACCTCCTCGATGCTGCTGACGGCTGCTCATGCCGCCGCGAATGTGCTATACGTCTCGTCGTACAGCGGCAAAGTCACCACTCTTGACCTGAACCCTGACAGCTCGCCTTCCTGTGGCGCCGCAGGCAACGTTCCCGCGCTCAAGGCCCTCTCCTCGACGGACGGGTGCGCGGGCAGTCCTTCGTGGTTGACGCTTGACCATGCCCGGTCGACGCTGTTCTGTATCGATGAGGCCCTCCCTTCCCACAAGGGCTCGCTGGCGTCGTTCAAGACGAATTCTGATGGGACTTTGACCACGTTGGACAAGGCTGTTACCTTGGGTGGCCCCGTCAGTGGTGCATTGTATGGGCAAAATGGGAGTGCCTTGGCCGTCGCCCACTAGTACGTCGTGGGACATGTTCAATACCAAAGACAAAGCAAGCTCTCGGGAGGGACTAGAAAACTAACATGTTCGTTCATTGGCAGTGGTGCCGGTGCCTTGACCACTTGGGACGTCTCCAACCCTTCCAACCTGACACTTGTGCAATCACAACAATACCACATGGACAAGCCTGGGCCCGTCGCCGACAGACAAAACGCTCCTCACCCTCACCAAACCCTGTTGGATCCTACCAGAAATTACATCCTCGTCCCCGACCTGGGCGCCGACAAAGTCTACGTCTACGCCGTCACCGCCAACTCTCTCAAAGTGACAGCCCTTCCTCCCATCGTCGTCAAGGCCGGCAGCGGTCCTCGCCACGTCGCCTTCGCAGTCCGCGACGGCAAGACCTTCATGTATCTGGTCACCGAGCTCGCGAACACCATCATCGGCTATGAGGTCACCTACCCTGCTGGCGGTATCAAGTTCAAAAAACTCTTCAACATTGATTCGCATGGTGCGGGCAAACCTGTCTCCAAAACAGTCTCTGCCGCCGAGATACTCGTGTCTGTGAGTCTGTCCGAATCCACTATGCTCCTGTATAAAGGGGACAGTAAAAAGAATAAAAAAAAAGGGCAGAGCAAAACAGAATGAAATAAAATAAATCTTTACTAATGGACGCGTTATATGGGTAGCCTGATGCCAAGTTTCTGATTGTTTCCTCCCGCGGTGACAATACCTTCTCCATCCCCAACTTTGACCCCGAGAACAGTGCCAACATCACCTCGGATCCGCTCATCAACTTCCTCATCAATGGCAAGACAGGTAGCCTCTCACTCATCCAGGAGGCTCCCTGTGGTGGCCGTTACCCTCGTCAGTTTTCCACGAACAAGGCTGGTACCCTGGTGGCGGTTGGCCAGCAGAAGGATGCGCGGGTTGTTCTTATCCAGCGCGACCCGGAGAGCGGCAAGTTGGGCGACTTTGTGGGCTATGCTGACGTTGCGGGGGAGATAACTTCGGTTATTTTCAACGAGTAGACCTTCTTTTACGGCTGCTGTACATAGGTCGTACGTATATATCGAACAATTATATATACATTGTCATCAGGTACACATCTATGCGCGAAGTGTCCGTCCATCTCGCGTCTGCCACAGGGCCGGGTGTTCTGATTGACGTTGATGACGAACATCTCCGTTTTGGCGTGCTAATAATCCATTCGTGTCAGGGACGGGGGGTAGCCCGTCTAGCATGCGTGCGATAGGGATCGAATCTCTCTCTCGACACAGCGGCATGCTGGGTTGGTTCTGAACTCCGCAAGGCTCAAGCTAGTAACGAAGTATTTCGAGATTCTGCCTGCCCCTGGTGATCTTCCGGTTCTGCTGCATGATGCTCGTTCGAGTTCGAGTCGACAACATTGGGTGCTTGCCCCTTCCTTTTCGTCGGAGCCGGTCTGCTGAGGCCGCCTCCTGTTGCGGTGATTAGGTCGCACGCATCATGGGCTGCTCCTTCTCCTTCTAGACGCCGCCTCCGCCACTTGGGTTGTCTAGGGCATCGTCGTCTCAAGATCGTCGAGCAATTGCATCCAGATAGTTCCTCTCCAACTCATCTCTTGCGAACCAGTCGCCTAATCAACCCTTTCCAACGTGCCACTCAGCAGCAGCGAGGCCGCCGGGCCATGGTAGTGTAAGTGGCAGATGCTGGCCCTCGCACCATGAATTGGAGTCCCGCCATTTCCTGGTCTGGACTCTTGACCAGAAGCACCGTACTCCGTACAACGCCCAATGATAGCACCAACCAAACCTTCCGAAACCTTCCGCTCAGCACAGGAATACCAAGCGACAGAGACGCCCCGGCAACTCCTACACACAATAGTGTGCTTGGTGTGGCCTGGCTCGTTTAACGTCGACGAAAAACCTCCTTAGCGCTGGGGCATTTGAATCCCCACACATCCTGATCTGCTCGTGAACTGGCACGGACTGTCACCCCATAAAACCCCACCATGGTCTGGTCTTCCTCCCAAAATCTTGATCGAGCCAAGAGCGACAACGGAACAGCCGTTGAAGCTTAGTTTTCTCTACATTGTGAATTGGTCCGAGACATTCAAGCCAACCCGTTTTAACATCGAATCCTGCGTTCGATGGGCTTTTAATCCGTTTCTAGGCTTCTTCTGCAGTTCGTCGATCCAGAGCTCCACTTCCCGTCGCAACCTGTTTGTCAATTGTCCCTAATAAAAGAGGCAAATCTGGGAGAGGAGCAACCACACAAATTGCCCAGCATCCCGAGTTTAAAGCCCCGCTGACTCTCCATACCTTGGTAGTTTGCGGCTCGCGTCAACTTTGAGCCGACCGTTCGTCAGCAACAGCAAGCTCGTGCTTCTGCCAGCACCATGGACGGCAGTCAGCACGATTTCCTGACATCTTCGATATGAAGCCGTGTCCACCCTGAGAATCTCGGGTTTCTGCTGAGTTGGATTGGCGGTAGATATCAGTCTCTCGATGCTCCAGCGAGCACGGAGGCGACAGATGTCGATTGTCAACACTGCTCGAAGTGGTTCCGGTTCTTTCTGAGGGCCCCATATCCGTCAGCATCGTATCGATGTGGTCTCCGTGTTTCTTAAAAACGGTCTATATACACACTCACTTTTGCATCTTTCTCAAGATACTATACTCGTCTTTTTGGATATTAGATTGTTCCTCGGCCGCTCGCATAGGGTGGGATGACTACTATAATAAACACGTCTCCCGCTGGTCTCAAGGGGAACCAGACCATGAGTGCGAGCCGAGACAAAGCCTACAACCCAATGGCGAGGTCACGCCTTCTATCTCAGTTCTCAGATAAGGCGCCTGCCACTCCTCTCCAGCTGGCGAATAGCGATGGATTATTGTCTTCGCTAAGAGGAAATGAAGTGATTCTACTGTTGATTATCCTCGGCGCAGAGCAGCTATTGCTGTAAGTAAGCAGTCCCTTGCACGTCTGTCAAGTCTTTTTGTCATAGATGCTTATATGGGTTTCCTTTGGCGGCAGTGTGAAGTCTGCCGGTCCAGAAAGTCACGTTGCGACGGCAGTAAACCGAAATGCAAACTGTGCGCCGAATTGGGCGCCGAGTGCGTCTATCGCGAGCCTGGTGTCAAGCTGGACGCTGGTGACAAGCTGATTCTCGAACAACTCAATCGTACTGAGAATTTACTGCAAATAAACTTGGTCACGAACCAGGCCAGTGGCCTCCACCTGTCACAAAGTTCACCATCAGTTAGTAACGGGACTGCCAGTGGCGGCGACCAAGCCCTTCTGTCAAACTCCTCAAATACCGCCTCTACCATTCCCAATGGCGGTCTGGGCACATGGGGTAGAGTAGAGTGCCTACTGGAACAAACATCTCAACGATGTTAAAATGCCATACGAATGCAAGCATGCACCTGCTTCAATGGCCTCTCATTCGTGACCTCGTCTCTACTCCGTACGAACCTCAAATCCTGTTGCAACTCGAGATGGATCGAGGACCTCTACACACGCTAACAAAAACACCGTGTGTTGACCTTTCAAACACACAAGCATACATTCAAGCATATTTTGACAGAGTCAATACATGGTATGCTTATGTTAATCCATATACATGGCGAAGTCAATACAGAACGGCTTTGTCGAACGGCTTTCGGGAAGGCCCCGAGAGTTGTATCGCGCTACTAGTGCTAGCACTTGGCAACGCAAGCCTCCGAGGAAGTATATCCCATATTGCGCCTCATGAAGAGCCGGCGGGATTGCAATATTTACTGCTGCCTGGTCGCTGCTTCCTAGCATGATAACGACCAAGAATGTCCTCGCGGCGCAATGTCATTTGCTTGCGGCGGCGTATCTATTTTACCTGGTTCGGCCTCTGGAGGCTTGGAACTTGCTTTGCACGACGAGCACCAAGCCGCAACTTCCCCTAATGGCCCCTCACAGGATTTCACAACGGCAGCGGGAACTGGTGGAAAGAACATACTGGAACACGCTTTTACTTGAGAGCGATGTACTTGCAGAACTGGATTTACCGCATTTCGGAATAGTGCAGTTCGAGAAGAACGTTGGACTGCCAGGCGGTTTTGAGGGCGAGGAGCAGGGACAGGAACAGATTGGGCATGATGATCTATGGTACTTCCTCGCCGAGATTGCTTTGCGAAGACTCCTTAACCGAGCGAACCAGCTCATATATTCCAAAGATTCTGTGGCATCAACGACAAGTCCGGAACCCGTTGTGGCAGAGCTGGACTACCAATTAACCCAGTGGTATGAAGGCCTGCCGCCTTCACTGCAGTTTCCTTTCTCTCGCACAATGTTGCATGACCCGATCCAAGCGGTCCTGCGTTTACGCTTCTATGCTTGTAAAACTATTATCTATCGCCCTTATATTTTGGCTGTACTGGAAAACGAGCAAGCGGTCTTAGACCCGGCGGTTCGGGGTTGTTGCCACAAGTGCTTGGAAGCATCAGTGCGGCAGTTGGAACACATTATGGAGCAGTAAGCTAGCCGCCCTTGACTTATGTCTAAGTGGGAGGTATGTCGATGATGCTAACTAAATGTGTAGTCACGCTGGACAGATGTCCTATATATGGCAAGGTACTTTGTCTATGATGGCCCAAACGCTTCTATTAATGGGCTCATCCATGTCGCCGTCATTGCTTGACATACTTCTCACGATTGTACCTCATCATGAAAGCATTGGACGACCTTATCAGTGAAGTTATCACGGGGGTGCAGAATTATGCATCCCTGGCACCAAGTTTGAGGCTGGCAGTCAGTATGGCCCGGGTACGGGAGCCACGGTTTGTGTTGTCACAACGCCGGGCCATTAGCCCCGGACAATAAAGTAATGGCTTGCAGTCAATTGAAAAAATGCGGGGCTTTCAACCCCTGGGACCTGTCTTCATGTCACTTTGCTTACGGATTTGTGCATGTGCTAAGGTTTCCGTCGGCGAGAAGAATGGTTACACAGGAGACCGGTGAGCCGGCCAGAAGTGCCTTTTGGCAGTGAGTCGGGTCTTCGTTCTGGTAGAATACGTCGTGGTAGCCTATTCTGAGTTGTACGTGGGAGAGTTTCCATTAGCAAATGTCGTCTTCACAGCGAATTGTTACAGTTTGACGTGTCAATATTTCCGAGGCTGGACGTGTCCCGATCGATGAAGCCACCAAGTTGATCAGTAGCGAAGGATTAAGGATACTGCCATTGCCGTCTTCGCCCACTCCGTCGTTTTACTCGTCGGTCAGGGAAGAGATCGGGCTCGCTATCAGGTTGTAGAATACGAAGCCCAATGGGTGGTGGTCCCTGACCGAGAACACGGAAACTTCTCACGAAGAGGCAGTGCAAGCGGAATACAGTTCTTCAAGGGGCTTGCATACAAGGGTTCTACCAGTAATTGTGCGGGCGGGGTGTTGCTGATGGGCACCGCTTGGGAGGAATTATCATCGGAATCGGCGTCGGTTTCTTCGGCATGAATCCGAGAGCAAAACTTGTGTAGAATAGTCTGGCATTGGAGTCGGATCGATGATGGCGTTGTGAAATTCAGCTGCGTAGAAGGAGATGAAGTAGTGTGTCAGCGTACAAGTGTGACCGCCACCGTCACCAAGGTTTCTGCAGTACTCTGTGTCAGCCGGCGGATATGAAGTAGCCACTCGCAGATGAAGTTTCGATATTCATCGAAGCGGGTACCATCCACATTCACAGTCCGAACCCCCCCCGTCCGTGTGCGAAAATACAGTCGCAACCTTTCTTCAGTCACGACGTGTGTCAGTCAAGTGTCCGGCCGCAGTTCCGTTGCATCAAATGCAGCGAACCAGTCCGTCCCTTGGACCCACCCGAGGCCCGGGCCGTGGCCCCCACTTCACGTCCAGATGCTCAGGTCAGGGCCAGGGTCATCGGTTTCCTATTGCTGGTCCACGTGAACAACGATGTCTCCGGGCTCACAAGCTCGGGGTCAGGTCACGGAGCGCAGCCCGTGCCGAAGGGGTAGGGAATCGACGAATGACTGCCGCTGACTCCGCCGCTGGGGAAGCCTACTGAGTGTGCATGGCCTGACTGAGGGATATTCTGGCCGTGTTTTTTTTTTTCCCTTCTGCCTCGTCAGACTTTTCTGAGGAGCGAGGGAATTTTTGGGTTAGGTTTCACAGCTTTGCCAGCTCAGCAATGGAGCCGTGACGTCGTCGCACGTGACGGCTGAGAGGAGGAAGCTCCCAGATGGCCAACCACCAACCACCCGCCCTTTGTTCCGTCTGGCGGAAGGAGCATCCACCAAGTGCACGGGGAAAGCGCCAGAGGCAGGGCCTCAGCACATTTTTTTTTTTTTTTTTTTTTTTTTAAAAAATCGGCTGGCTGGTCACACAGTTGACGCTGGTGACACTGGCGGCTGGAGCGTGAACTCAGTCTTGTTCATGCCTAAAAGTTCCTTGTCTTTGTGTGGCCTTCTCCTCCGGTTTTACTCATCGACCGTTGCGGGCACCAACCGCTACCCCAAGACGCCTGGGCAGCCATCCACGCTGAGCACTTGACCCAACTTGTCAGGGCACACTGTCACCCCTCACGGCCGGCGGGTTGCTCAATTGAACATACCACCTTTTGTTCAGGGTCGGGCCATCTCGCCTCATCACCAGTCTTGTTGGTGTTTCCCGGGTGTTGGGCGGAGTGTTGGACGAACTGCCTGACGGACGGCCAGGTGGAAAAAGGCGCCTTCCAGAGGTTCAAATGCTGAGGGGGGCTCTCTGATCCATCATTATTCAGACCCGAAGACATCATAGCGTGGCGGCCCGACGCAACACCACCAAAAGTCAAAGCTTGCATGCGGTAGTATTGCTCGTGTTCTTTATTCTCACTTGGCGCATTCCCCTGCGGATTTCCTGCTCGGCAAAGCCTTATAATGCACCACACGCCCTGCCCAACCCCAATCAACGACGTGTGCTGCAGTAGGTTGATGCAGGCAAGACAACCCCCGACTGGTTCGCCGCCGCACAGGGCTGCTTGTCTATTCGCTCGTACTTCGCATTTATTTTACTTCATTTTTATTTTCTTTTTTTTTGATTCTTACGCCTGCTCGACCGCAAACCAACCAGAGCAGGCAGAGGGGAAAGTGCGTGCATAATCAATCGACATATCGCGCCGGGGTGGTGGTGGTGGTGGGATATTCAGCTATTCAGCCCGTGGTTGCCCGAAGCCAACAAGGAGAACTTTCTTAACGGCCTAAAAAAACCCAACAAACCAACCGCCAGGCCTGTTTGGAGAATGAGGCGGTCTTCGCGCTTAGATGATGTGGATGGCGATCATATCCCCCCTCGAGCAAGACGGTACGACGACGGCATTCTGGACCTGAGAGCGAAGCCTGACCAGTCGCCCGATTCGCCGCCCCATGCTTTTGACGACGGGGTACATAGCCCCACGCGTAGGACGACATCTCGACGACGACGCTATCCAAGTTTAAGGAGCCCGGAGCCAAACGAGTACTTTGCTGCTGCTTCTGCCTCCTCAATCATGCCCCCTCCCCCAGCGCCAGTGCCTGTAATCGGTTTAACAAGGTCTGCAACAGATGCCGCGTATCGAAGACCTGTTAATTGTCTCGCTCCAGATGACCGGTATGAGGTACCGCTTGTGAGGAGGCATTCGGCAAGGGATGTGTCTCCGGGATATGGAAGGACGAGGGGGGGAGCAGAATACTTGGCGCGTTCCTCAGCCACAAGCGGCCTTGCGTATGGAGATGATGATTATGATTGTGATCATATAGAGGTTGTTGAGGAGCCCGAGGAGGAGCCGGCGAGGTACAGAGAGCGTGGTCAGTCGAGCCGAGATGAGTATATCGAGTCGTCTTCGGATAGGAGATATCGTAGGAGAAGGAGGAAGCCGTATGTGGACGAGGATGGCGAGTCGCGGAGGTACTATGCTGCTAGTGAGGGTGGCTCCGCAGCCCATGCGTCATCAAGGACACCTGATCGCAGTGTTTCGTCTCGTCGCGGGGGAGTTTATCACGTTCCTGATGTGATTGAAGATTCGCGGCCGCCGATTTCGTCCAACAGGTATGTTTCAAGTTATGGAGAACTGTGTTGCTCGGGTTCTAATCATTTTTGTGGCAGGCCGCTAGTGCATAGACGTCACCGATCCGCTGAGGTTATTCAGCTTGAGCAGCCGAAGACTCGAAGATACAGCCGGAGTAGGGCTGGATCGGTATCGGGCGGTCCTTCTAGCATCATCGGGAGTATATTCGGGGCGCAGACTGTGCGACAGGAGAGTCCGGACAAGCACTTGAGGGAGGCAAAGGCGCCAAGGAAACGGTAAGTTTTTCACCATACCGACGTCACGCGAAATACGACGAACGGAACTAACTGAAAGCGCAGTGTTGATTGTGTCATATGTATGGGCGACGTGTCAACATCCAGAGCCTCCAAGCTGAGATGCGGACATTACATGTGCCGTTCATGCCTTGAACGCATCTTTAGGCTTTCCATCACCGATCCGCAACACATGCCTCCTCGATGCTGCACGACTGACCATATTCCTTTAAAGCATGTTGAACGGCTTTTCGATCATGCCTTCAAGAAAACTTGGAATCGTAAATTCGCCGAATACTCAACCAACAATCGAGTTTACTGTCCGTCCCGAAAATGCGGAGAATGGATCAAGCCGTCTAATATTAAGCGCGAGGACGGCCGCAAAGTAGGAAGGTGTAGTAGGTGCAGAACCAAGGTATGTTGCGCATGCAACACCCGATGGCATGGAGCTACTTCGTGTCCGAACGATCCAGAGACAGCGGATATTCTTGCCCAGGCCAAAGAAGAAGGGTGGAAGAGGTGCTACAGGTGCAAGACTTTGGTAGAGCTGAAAGAGGGTTGTAACCATATGACCTGGTCAGTCCACTTCTCCGCGAGCCTCCTCCTTTAGGGGAGATGAAACTTTTGCTGACAATGTATAGTCGATGCGGTGCTGAGTTCTGCATGATTTGCGGCATAAAATGGAAAAACTGCGATTGTCCCTGGTTCAACGATGATGATCGCCGCGCCGACTTCTTGAATGATATGAATATTCCGATTCCTGGCATCAGAGGCGACCTGGGCGACATATTTCAAGGCAACGGTCCGCCTGCACCGACCGAATTACGAGGGCATACAGAACCTCCTCCTATGATGATGCCAGTTCGTCGAAGACCAAGGACGTACCAGGAGGAAATGCACATGCGACGACAGCAAGAGTCGTTCGACGCCGACCTTGCTCGTCAATTGCAGTATACGGATGATTACGACGAAAAGCACAGTTACAGTATGATGGGTGGCTTGGGAGACATCCATGGGATTGGAAACGCAGCAGGGCATTATATGAATGAGAATTACAGACGTGGCGGACACTACAGGCCCCAAGCACAAACGACAGCAGTACACGACAGACCTGAGTACGGTGATACTCGGCGCTCACGGGGCCGTTTAGAAACCTCTCAAGAACGACGACTAGCAGATCGTCTATCAGAAACCCGATCCGGCTTTGGATCTCCTCCGGCAGCAGGCCCAATATGCCCAGTGGGCAGGAGCGTGCCTCCTCCACCAGTACCTGCGGCTCCTATCCCGCCCCTCACGCTGCGGCACCATACGGTCGAGGCGGAAACGTACAATATGTCGCCGTATACTCCGCGGGCAGAGAGAGTCGTTGGGCGGCGCATGTCGAGGGATTACGAAGACGAGGCAAGGGTCCATTCTCCACCGCGAAGTCATTGGCGCAGAGACAGGGACAGCAGACCCAAGTCGAGCGATTTGGCCGGGTTGAATGGCACGGGACGGGGGAAGAATCGGGTTTCGCAGTGGAGGACATTTGTTGAGCCTGGGATTCCGGATGGGGAGTCAACGGTTGGACATGCTTAAGATGTTGCTCTCACGAGTCTATGATGTGTATTCTAGAACTTTTTGAACTTTTTGAATGAGTTTTTCCTTTTCTTTTCTTCATTTTCATTTCGTGCAGCGTCTTTGACCTGACAGGCTTGTAGCACAGCTGAGGATTCTGTATTTGAGTGTGAGTGAGTCGGTCAGTCGGTGGGTCAGTCAGTGAGTGGCGTGGCCGCTTGCCGGTGATGGTTATGTCTACGGAGGAAGCCATGTTCCCCTCAGCCTTGAACGACGATGGACCTGACAGGTGCCTATGTTACCATTATATTAATTAGATGCATGCATGTCTCTGACCACGGCTGCCAAGACTACGGCCCGGTTAGACAGGACGATATTCATGCACCCCGTACTGCGTACGCACAGCCGATAGTATGTGCGAGATGACGGGACATGCGGAGCCAGAAAGCAGCGCACCGATGGTGCCAGGGCCTCGATGGCGGACGGGGGGGGGGAGTTGTCAGGTTCTCAAGTTGGTTGGACTGGAAAATGAGGTGGGTTGTGTAACAAGGGGCCACTCGACGGCGCATTGGCGTGAATACAGAGTAACTTGGGGGGGCGGACGGATTGGTCGGTTTTTGGCTGTGCTCCTTGCTCGGTAGCACGTATGTACGCTCGATATTTGTTTTTCCAAATGGATGACGACGGCGGTTGAGATTGAAACGCGCAGATGCTCCTCCGTGCATCCGAGATCCCGTATGGCCCAGGCCCTGGGCGGCTAGTCCTCTTCGGGTGCAGCGGGATCGGCTGCCTCTTCGCACTTGCCATTCTCTCCGGAGTCCCGCCTGCCAGCTCAAGAGGAAATGTCTGGTGCGTGAAGCCCGCGAGGGTCGGCCGGGCCCACTTCCAGCAACGGTCCACCTCCTATTCCACACCCGCAGCCGTAGTCCGTCATTCGCACCAGGCGGGCAGCACATGTCATCCTCCCACCACTCTTCTCATTACACCTTCATCTTCCCTCCATGTCACGCTCGCATCTCGCTTCCAAAACTTCTCGCGCCATGAAGGGCCTGTGCTAGAACCCCCTTCTCCTCTCCAAATCCCTGGACAGCTAGCGCCCGCCGGTGCTGCACATGCCGTAGCTGCTGGTGCTCTGACATCGGCATCCTCAAGGGTGACCACGTGCTGTCTATGATGCTCGCGTGCGCTTGAAACCCATTCTCCCTCAGTTCCTGTACGACACGACCTTTCTTCCTCATACTTTGCCACGCCGAAGCTCGAATCTACGTCTCAATAATTGCCTGTGCGAGCTCAAAGTTGGCCGTCGCAAGACCAGGGCCACCATATCATTATGCTCCTCCTGCATCAGGTCGGCAGCGTCAAGATTGGCGAAGTCGTCCGATACACCGTCACGTACACTCCGTCGCAGGACCGAATCCTGCCGTCACCCGAGAAACTCTACCTTCGGATCCGAAATACTTCCACTATTGCCTTGCGCGCTGCATTTGTCCACGGCCCGTATACGCTCTCCGTCTCGGCTTACCCGTCCAACTATAACCCAAATGAGAAGTATCCCAATCCCCGCCGTTATGGAGTCCCCGAGTTTGAACCTATGCTCAAAGCAGGAGGCTTGTGGGAGTGCGAACTAGTCGTTCCAGACGATATTCGTCAAACTGCTGGTGCCGGGCGGCATGGCGGGTTCGGCAAAAGTTCTGAGCACGACGACGAATGCGCTAGCTGGATCATTGAAGTTGCCTCACAGGTCATTTTCTCGACCTCGGCCGCCGTGGGGTTCGAGGTCGTGGTGGCGCGGGACTACAAATCGTTAAACCTGAGCCAGACATTGCCTATTGTTGGTAATGCAAGCGCGGTACCTCAGCCCGGCCGTGTCAGTGACTACCAGCAGAGCATTGGAGCCAAGGACGGGCACCATTCTGCGCAGCTCAAAGGTGTCTTCTCTCGCGCAGTCCACCTAAAAGTGGAGGATACAGCTGCGCTCTGGAATACTCCAAGACTTCCCGGCTGGGACGATGTGTGCGAAAAAAGAGTCGAAGCTGCAGGTGCAGACAAGCCTGTACAAAGTACGGTTAAGACGGGCGATCCAGGAACCAACGAGTGCAAATCATGTCGAATAGGAGAGCGGAAGAAAAAAAAAGTCCACCTGGTTATTTTAACCCATGGGTTACACAGTAACCTAGGAGCCGACATGTTATACATTAAGGAGAGCATTGACGTTGCTGCTAAACAGGCACGGATAGATGCGAAGGCTAGGCGGGCAAAGGAAAAGGCAGCTGAGAAGGAAGCTATTACCGAGTCGAAATCCGAAGACACGAAAAAGGGCGAAGGCGGAGGCGGCGGCGGCGGCGACGACGATGACGACGACGACGAAGAGGTAATTGTGCGCGGGTACCCCGGAAACGCTACCAAAACTGAAAAGGGCATCAAGTACCTTGGCAAAAGACTGTCAAGGTACGTTCTCTCCATGACATATCCCGACCAACCTTTTCTTCCTATTGGTAAAGGGGCATTTGAAGGCCTCGCCGAGGCTATGAGAGGCGACCACAGCCACCAGCATCAAAACTCTCCTGATTTAAAGCCGGCGCATAAGCATAGCACGATACAAGCCGATGCTGCGAAAGCTAAGCACGACAGTTATTGCAGACATTACAGGATAACAAGCATCAGCTTCGTTGGGCATTCGCTTGGTGGTCTTATCCAGACGTATGCTATTGCATATATTCAAAAGCACTCTCCCGACTTCTTCAATCTCATTCAACCAATCAACTTTATCTCATTGGCGTCGCCATTCCTCGGTTTGAGTAATGAGAATCCTCTGTACGTCAAATTTGCCCTCGATTTTGGTCTAGTCGGGCGAACAGGCCAAGACCTTGGTCTCACCTGGAGGGCTCCAACCATTGCTCGAAGTGGATGGGGAGCCCTTGTAAGCAATCTTGGCGAGTCTGCACACAAAAAGGTATATGGCGAATCACAAGCCGAGTCGAAACCCTTGTTGCGCATTTTGCCCACTGGCCCTGCACATGCAGCCCTCAAAAAGTTCAGAAACCGAACTGTCTATTCCAATGTTGTCAATGATGGCATCGTGCCCCTTCGCACCAGTTGTTTGTTATTTTTGGATTGGCAAGGTCTCGGTCGTGTCGAAAAGGCTCGGCGAGACGCCGGCTTGGTAGAAACTGTTGTTGGGTTCGGATGGGCAGAGTTGACCGGCACAAGCATCCTGTCCCCGCGGCAAAAGCATAGACTCCCCTCAGATGAGCAAACACAGCAAAGTGACTCTGGGACAAGCACACCAAGGGGGAGCATGCGCCAGGTTCCGCAGCCGTCAGACGATGCCATAGACGAGGATGACAGAGCAAGCATCCGCTCTGTGCCTCGACCATTCAATGGAGACGACAATCTCCCCTCCGACACTGGTGGTGATGCTGCTCACCTCTCGCCTTTGGCCGGCTTCTTCAATTTCTTCAAGAGCAATGAGCCTCCCAAGCCCCAAGTAACCTCTGCGAAACAAAAGAAGATTTTGCGCCGCGGCCAGACAATACCGATCAACGACTCTGACACCCCCAACTCGAGCATCACGGATACAAGCGACCGGAAACCCGGCAAAGCAACAACGGGGCATGAGATGGAAGAGGATGTGGATGGGATGACTGCACCGCCCAAAACGACATTTTTCGAATCCGCCGGCGATCTTCTCAACCCTAGCCTGCCCACCACAGAATACCTGCTTGATCCATCCAAGCGTCCCAGAACCATTTTCCACGACCGGGTATACCATCCAAGTGATATACCCCCTCCCCCCATGAAAAAGCGGCAGTCGACCCTTGTCCGTCGTAGGACGCCCGGGAAGATGTCTGCAATGCCGCAGCAGTCGAGCGATTCACCGTCACCTTACCCTTCAATTAACCATGCAGATTCCATGGAGTCGGCAAAGGACTATGACGACACTGTCCACACCAACCCAGACAAACATCCGGCCGAAGTAGTAGACGGTTCGAGCATGCGGGTAGAAGAAAAGATTGCCAGAGGCTATCATCGTGACCTTTCTTGGCGAAAAGTGCTGGTCAAGCTAGAACCGGACGCACACAACAACATTATTGTGCGCCGCATGTTTGCTAATGCTCACGGCTGGCCTGTCGTGAAGCATTTGGTGGACGCACACTTCAGTGACTCGGAGGCTGCGCGGATGCGAGATGACGAGGAACCAAACGTAGAGCGGGCGTTTGCATCTCACCGGTCGCCGGATGCTGATGGTCGGGAAGTTAAACGGTTGGACCAACTTGGCCAGGAAGGCGTGGGCAGCCCTGGCCCATCGGAAGAGCCAGACGGCGGTGAAACCAACGAGGCGCGAGAGGCGCGAGAAGCACTGGACGAGGTCCCCGAATTGCGCAAGAAGCCAGACGGCGATCTCTCGTTACCTCCTCGTCTCGGGTCGTCGGATCGAGCCGACTCCATGACATGGAGTGATCGAGACTGGGTGGACAGTGAAAACGAGAGCGATATCGAAACCCATGAGGACGCAAAGGTTGGTAACCAGAGGCACCAGCCTACGCAGCCGACAAAGGACGGGACGCAAGGGCGGCTCAGCCCGTCATCATGGAAGTGGGCTGAGAAAATCGTGGGCAAGGGGTCGACAAGAAGCCGGAGCAAGAGTCCAAAGCCCGGTGAAGACAAATGAAGAGGCTTATTGGGCGGTGAAGAGACAAACACGGGTCTTGGATGAGACATGGCCCATGCAATAGATGTCACTACGGAGTACGTAGTTCAATATCATACTAGTACAAAAGGGAAATGACGGCGTTGTGCATTAGTCACATGGCAAACACGTTGAACCGGAACAAAAAAAGCAACGAAAGACAAACTGTGTCAGATGGAGACGTGAAAAGTCACGCCATTGTGGCAGCGTCCTAAATCAACGCAGCATACGGCACACACATGCACACGCCTTGGGTAAAATATTGCGACAATGTCGCTAGTCTGCTCGCGGCAAAATATCATGATGTTCTAGTTCAAGTATTAACTGAGCCTACATGTGTAATGGCGTAATGTCGACAAGTGCGCTGGGCGTCAGTATGCGAGAGCTCTCTGACACGTTTGAGTCCTCCGGAGTCCCGAGAGCAACTGGCCCTGACTTGGCGAAAAGGTGAATAAATACCCATTGGCAACTAGGTGGCCCGTCTACTTGGTGGCTGACGGGTAAATAAATAAATGAGTGCATCTGGAAATTAATTATTAATTCTTTTAATCAAATTATGAAATAATAAAAAATACAAAAAAGGGCCAGATCAAGGGCATCTACGGAGTAGTAACACTGTATTTTCGCCGTACTGGGCCAGGGAACCGTAACTAGCCCACGCAGCATCTGGAAATTAAACCAAAAAAGAACCCAAAAATTGAGGTATAACAGTGGACTTGATACCACCTTGTTTGGACGAACGGGGAATCGAACCCCGGACCACTCCCAGATCAGTACCGTAGACGGAAACTTGCTAAGGGAGTATTATACCACTAAACCATCCGCCCCATGCCATTGTTGGAAATTGGGTTATTTTCTTACAAGCATCTTCCCACAATTCAAAACCAGAGTCGGGTTGGATGGCATGCAGTGAAATCGCTACTTGGGGCTTGGCCTGAAAAAAGTGCCCAGATACGGAGTACGGAAATGCGAGTCAATGTTTGCGTGATATGATACCTCGCACGAAGCCGGAATTATAACATTGCATATGTGACGTATCTATAGCATTGTCGCGTCTTCAGCAGTGGCTGATGTTTCACCTGTCGTTGTGTCACGCTGATTGTAGCACAGCGAGCAGTGTGACGAGAAAGGAGGAAGACAGGTGATTTCGAGCTTGACCAAGGAGGGGGCGCCTGGCTGCGATTTCGTTTCCGTTTTGCCTTTCCTGTACTCCGTACTTCTTTCTTTGAACGGGTCGACATGTGTGACCACCCCCCCTTCACCCTGTTTTGCCCCGGAGGTTGACTTGCTGTGCGTTTGCGTTTGCAACAATGGCACTCACCCCGTACACACGGTCCATGTCACAAAGGGCTCCGGAGCTGGCTGGCGGCACGGAGCACAGTGACTGTGTCGTCCATGACATGGCTTGGCGCAGTCCCACAAGGGCACTGCGTAGTTGTAACCATGGACCGGGATGGTTTGTTGCTTCAACACTGAAGAGAGGCCGAGCACGCCGGAGCGCATTGGTGACAGCGTCGAGACGGCCTTGTCGATTCGCTGGCCGCCCAAGCCGCCTTTCCCAGAGCGCAGCGTCAGAAATGTCGGCTAGAGAGGCTCTCGGGGCGCACATGCGAGGCGAAGGTGCTCGAGTTGTGATGTCCGCCCTGGACGTTCGCCCTGCGCATGGCGCAAGGTTGGGGCGTTTGAAGCAACCAGTGACTCTTGAGCGCTGGCTCTCTGGACTCAGTGCGTACCTGCACTTCGCGTGAAACTGGACGGCGCCTTCCTTTTGGGCATCCGGGTTGAACAAATGTCTGCTTTTTCCCGCGGAAGGGGCGAGGCGGTCACAGTCCCAAATCCCAGTTTCCAGTTCCCAGTCCCGCCATGGACCAAACAATCTTGATAATTCACAGCTGCCCAAGGAGTCTTTTACCACTTGAGCATTCATTGTTCGTAAAAGTAATAAGAACCTTTATCTTGGCCGCTCTCTTCTCGTAAGAGGGAAATCTCTCTTTTTCCTTCTCTCCTCTCTTCAACCATCCCGATCAAACGCTAAGCTCACTTCGCCCTTGGTTGCTTATGGTTCTCTCTTTCTTTATTTTCTCTTTTCTCTTCCCCATTGCGTGATATGCCAAGCAAGCCTTCTTTGCCTTATCAGCCGGGACAGGTGAGACTTATTGGCTCATCTTCTACCATACGGACAACAGAGGAGACGACACAGAGCCGGCTCTGGCCCGAGTCGCTCTGCCGTCCAAGGGGGAAAGACTGCGGCGGTACCCAAGCCATCTTTCCTCCCCAAAGAGGACGTCGAATCGAGAGCGGGCAGACAAGGAAAATAAAAAAGTGCTGGGCTTGGCTCGTGAAGCGACGTTGGAGGAGGGAAGACAAAGAAACAAAAACTATGCCCGGAACAATAGACCGCCGTGCCACCATTCCGGCGGCTAAGATGGTCCAGAATCCGGCGAATCCCCGCGTGCTCGGCACCTGGAACCAGGTTGCAATGCGAGCTTATGTCCGGCAAGTGTTTTGCTTTCCAATCGACGAGCAGCTAGACGACTTCGACGAGCTGTGCACTCACATCAAAGACCGGCTCAGGCTTGCATGCCATCATTTCCCTCACTTTGCAGGAAAGATATGCCTTAGCCGGACCAAGGGAAAAGTGTACATTTCCATGACGAAGGATGACAAAGTGTCTTTCAAGATTTTTGATAATCGACAATGTGAGGAGGCGTTGTTTGGCTGGAGCTACCCCGAGCTCAAGGCGCAGGGTTTCCCCTGCAAGGCATTTGTAGGGCCCTGGTTCGACCTGCCGTATGACTTGACGGAAGATGGGCCCGGTGTGCCGGTAACTGAGGTTCATGCACGCATTATCCGAGGCGGCGGTCTCTTGCTGTGCTTCTACTTCCACCACTCCATTACAGATGGCATTGGCATGCACAGCTTCATATCGACCGTTGCCGCCCTCACCCGCCGCGACGAGACGGCTGCCGAGAATGGTATCGAGAACGGTGTTGGGACTGATGTTAAAAATGGCGCCGAGCATGGTGTCAAGAATGGGGTCGGAAATGGCCAAGCCAACAAGCTTAAATACCCCGCCAATATAGACATGGATATTCCCGAGAGCGAAACGACTGCTTTACTCGAGTCGTCCTTTGAGGACCTGATGAAGAATTGTCCCGAATACACCCTTCTTCCCCAGCCGACGGGACCAACCGCCCCATGTACCCGCCGAGAATGGGTGCCACCTCTCGGCGATGTCCCCAAAACGGGCCGCATATTCAAGTTCAGCGAGGAGAAGATTAGGGCCCTTCAAGCCGTGGCCCAAAATTGGAGTGGAAGCCGCGTTAGGACCTTTGCCTGTCTGGCGGGTGTTGTGTGGAGCTTCTGTACCGCTGCTCGACTCGCGGGTCATCAGCCGCGAGAGCCGACTACACCAAATCCTACTAATGGACTCGGCGGCAACCAGGGCAGCTTGACAGACAAGACACACCTTCTCGTCCCGGCAAGCTGGGCAAAATGTACATATCAAGGCCAACTGCCTGGATATGCAAGCAATGCGGTTTGCATGCCCAGGATTTCGGCCAACATGGACAATCATGTGGTGATTAGTGGCGGGCAGTCATGTACAAAGGCTTCGGCAGCGACGGCGGACGAGCTGCTAGGCAAACTGATATGCTCCATCGACTCGCAAATAACAGCGATTGACAAGGAGTTTGTTGACAAACGAACAGCAATGTTTCGAGCTGCCCCGGATCCTCGATTTGTCGGCATCAATCTTGACCCTCAAGAACCTTCGGACTTTATCTTCAACTCTTGGCGTCATTTGGGAGCCGATGTTGTATTTTGGTTTCCAGGATTAAAGCCCGGGGGCAAGTCGAGCTCACGTGGGGAAACAGCTGATGCTGTGCGTCGCGCGCAGTCACAGTGGAATATGGGCGCGGGGCTTGTGCTACCAGGAAAGCTACATTCGGATTATGAGATATTGGTGACGCTGGACGAGGCGTCGATGATGCGACTGCTGGCGAACGAGGAGTGGAAGAAGTGGGTGAGCAGTGACAACACGATTGAGTAATGAATACCGGAGGGATGGACATGTTGGTAGAGACTTATTGGCAACGATGATAGACAGGGCCTGAAGGCCGACTTCCACTGAGATGAAATTTCTTTTGTATCCTTGGCATATGTGCGTGATGGAGAATAATGAATGGTTGGTTGATGCATGAGGTAACTACCAACCAGTGCAAGCTTCAGTCGCAGGTGTAAGCGTCTTGGCCATCGGGTGGCTCCAGATGTGCAGGCGTGGACCGAGGTGCGTTGGTGGAGACGCCTCCATCGGGCCCAATGTGAAGCAAGCTATTAATTACTAGCACACATGTAGTTAATTTACCCCTTATTACCTACTGCCAACTAAGTACTAAGTACATACCTCAGGTATACGTATTATCTGCCCAGCTGTGACATGACGTCGTCGCCCAAGTACCGTCAGTCGCAAGCCGCCTTCAGTCCAGCATCGCCGGGCAACTTTCAGCATTCCCTCCCTTCAACACACCGACTTTGCGCGACGAAAAAAATCCTATAGCCGCCCTTTCACGACAAGACCGACACTCGACTTAGACTCTTTGGCTCTCGTCACAATGGAGGAATAACTGGATAGGCATTCAGCGAAGTGCGTTGCGAACACTGCTGCACTGCAAGTCGCCACCATCAAGAGACACAACCAAAAAAGGAGAATACTCCCTCCTCATTCCACGACCATCAATTGAATCCTTGGTCCGCAGTTCATCCCCCCGCTTCCCAAGATGCGCATCTTCCTCCTCCCCCTCTCCACGCGGCGCACATTTCTCTACGCCCAGCGCCTGCACGTAGCGACGTCGCCGCCCAACACGTCGCTGCTCGACCGCGGCACCGCCTTCGCCGCGCGCAAATGGTCCGAATGGGAAAAGAAGCCCTCGGGCTGGCAGAGGAAGGTGGTCGAGTACGGGAACCACGCCTTTCGAAGGATC